CTAGGCAAGATAATATAAATATATAGCTGTACCAAAGGAACACACGGTAATTGAGATGGAAAAATAAACCAGCGATTAGAGATAAAACCCAAATGATAGCTAAAATGATATAGGCGCGCCTCAAAGTTACAATCTCTTTGTATCTAAGTCCCAACAGCATTGCAAGAAGTCTGTCCACGCTTATGGCCGTTAACGTCGACAAAGAAGATGCGCATAACACATAGCCTGTTACGCCGGTTGCTTTAAATAAATATCGACAAAGACCCCAGTGTTCGCGAACCACGGACATCCAATATGAAGCATAGAGAGGCTGGCTTACCAGACCAACCAACAGATCGGTTGTTGCTAGACAACGATACACGAGTTTGGATGGCGGATGAAGGGAAGATTCTTTATAAAGGGCAACAAGGATAAGAGAATTTCCAAGAAATGCTGTGATGGAGAGGAGAAAGTTGACTGCCGCGAATGAAATGGACTGTTGTTTTAATTCACCTACCCAAAAGAAGGAGCATTCCGATCCTTCAAAGGTTTTCGCCTGTGTTGCACTCTCCGTTATATTTGCTGCCACCATCATTCAGCAGTAACTTCCATTCTTTTGCAGGTTATTCTTAGTTAAAACGTGGAATATTTCGCCTTAATAGCCCTCTCCCAATAAAGATCAGTCAAACCTTATCTTTTGAATAACAGTTGCTTAAAGATTTCATCAGCAGCATCTGATCATACAAAGTGTCTGAAAGGTGTCCAGTATGTCACGTGGAAGAGGAAAATATGTCAGTTTTTCCGCGAATTCAAATTAGCAAAGATGGAAGAAAAAGAGATTTATGACAGGAAAACTTCACAACACGGCAGAGAATTAAAAAAGGAAAAAGAAAAAAAAAACCTATTTACTCAAATTAAATAAACTCTCAGTGGTAGGTTACTGACAGCAGACAGACCGTCGGCCCACGCGTTGACCGACGCAGCGGCCGACTTGTTGCTTGGATTGGATTCGTTACATTACCAGGATAATAGGGTAAATGATATTCATTCAAGTCATCTGGAGACGCCATGAAGTGTTATCAGACTAGACAAACTGGGGTTAAAAAGCCAAATTTGTAAACAGTAATAGGTTTTTAGGAAAATGGAAACTCAATTAAAAAAAATTCAAAATTAATGTATGGTTGCAGATGAAAATGAGTTCTAAATGTGTTTGAATTCTTGGTCACACCTAACTGGAGTTAGGAACTAAACGACGTTAGTGCAATATATTTCACTTATATCCTTTGTATCCTAAGAGTTTCAGTCACTACTCACCCTCGTCTTTTACGCACGCCAATACATAGTGATTATTTCCTATGGTCACGAGGCATTAAAAGTTGAAGAAGCTTGTGGTCCCACTTTTTCAAGCAAGCTGTCATGTATATGGCAGGTGATTAAATTATTTATTCTGCGATTCTCCTCTGCAATGAACGATTTACCTTTTGCAATTAAAATTTATTTGAATAAAAATATTGGTTTTTTAATTAAGGTAAATGATAC